AGAAAAACCTCTTACGATAAAGAAAAACCTTGTACGGCAACGGAAAATCTCATACGATAAAGAAAAATCTCGTATGGTAAAGAAAAACCTCTTACGGTAAAGAAAAACCTTGTATGGTAAAGAAAAACCTCTTACGGTAAAGAAAAATCCCGTATGGTAAAGACAACTGGCCACCTTCTCGCTGAGGGGGCAGCTCTACCAACTGCTCCACCATGCTGCCCCTTTACCGTATAAAAATGATTTGATCCGATGTTTGCCGTGAACATCTTGAGATAGGCAGCAGAGCTCTCTGCAGCAGAGCTCTCTGCAGCAGAAGCTCTCTCATGCGAGTCTTTCCGGTGTCATCTTGTGTCTTCTCAGGTTTCTATGGTACGGTTTCTATAGCCGAAGCAAGTGTCAAAGATCTATAAATGTACCTGCTGCTCAGCTCCTCCACCGACAACAAACGTTGGTTTAGTTTGGTTTTAGTTCCACCAGTTAACAAAACCGTCTCTTCGAGGACTGAAAAAGGAATTTCTTGGAAAACTTGTTCAGGTTTATAAAAGAAGCTACTTTGTTTGTTGAATGTTGGATGACACTGATTAAAATGTGGGACGCAGTTGTTTTTGCTGCCACCTAGCCTTAGAAGAAGCAGACATGAGGAACTCCTTCAGTCTTCAGAGGCTCCTGCAGAACTTCCGGTCTCTTCTGGGGTCCAGTCTCCAATTAAAGCTGTAATCTTAAGAACGGCTCCAGAGGGACTTTCATGTTCTGGACTCAAGAGACTCTGGGGACTCTTGGGGACTCTTGGGGATGCTGAAGTGTCCTGAAACTGTGGACCATCAGAGTCCAGCCGTGGACCGGGACGTGTCTTTTTGTTTCTATTATGAATAGAACCTATTGGACAGTAGAGGTTCGGCCCGCAGAGGACACAGATTAAGGACCGGGACTGGAGGAATGGACCGGGTCTGCTCGGGAGTGACGCACCGTGGGCGGCGCGTCCACGCTCTGCGCCACGCACAGCCGCGGGGACGCGTCCGGATCTGTGCAGTTCTGGGTCAAACCTGCGGAACGGAACGCGCCTGGAAGAGGAGGGGAGTGCTGGTCCGGTCCTGGTGATGGTCCACCCGACCAGGATCCCGGTTCTGTGAAGGAGCAGCCTTTTCGCAGCAGGACCGGGCGGACGGTTCGGCACCAGCTGATGAAACTGGACCACCAGCAGTGATTTCAGCCGAACCTGCGGTGTTTTGGCACCGGAACCAGGTTCTGCTCCTGGTTTAAACTCGGTTCTGGAGGAGCTTGCAGCGGACCCAGATGACGTGAGAAGGTTCGGAGATGCCTCGCGGATGTGTCCTCGTGCTTCAGGTAAGTTTTGATCTTTCTGTTCAAACTTCTGGTTCAGATTACTGCAGGACTTAATCCGGATGATGAGGGATTAACGACCTCACCCCCAGGAGGTCTGGACACTGCCCCCCAGGACCAGGACCAGGTCAGGACCCAGGACAGAGGTGGACTCTCCTACAGCCAGACCTGGAAAACCTGAGACCAGAACCCGGAGCTGGTCCTGAGAAATCCACCACTGACCTCAGAGATCCGGTCTGGTCTGTTGGGGGTCTGGTCTGTTGGGGGTCTGGTCTGTGGGGGTCCCTAAATGAAGCCAGCAGAGGGGACCATGAGGACCTCTGATCCGAGGGCGGTTCTGATGTTGCTGCAGAACCTGGAGGTGAATTATCTTCACAGAGGAGATCTGCAGGACTAAGAATAGACTCCCAGACCCCCGCAGTCTGCCCCCCCAGTCTGTTTTCTGTTGGTGGCCCCTCTGTTGGGACCTCAGAGTCCACAGTCACAGACGCTCAGGTCCAAAGGTGACAGCTGGACTTGGGTTCTGGACTCACATGTTTGAGTTCGGCTCCAGCCACTAAAACAAAGAGTTCAGTTTAAGACCAGTTCAGTTCATTAAAGGGATAGTTCAGATCTTTTTGTTGTGTGTGGGAACGCTGTGAGAAATCAACATCTTACCTGTTGTAGATGGTGCTTTGACTGCCCTCAGTCTGGATCAGAAGACTAAAACTGTGTTAGGACAACAGAAATCGTTTTTAGTCCATCAAGATCTATTTTAACTCGAGACAGGACTTTAGAACCATAAAGGTTTGTCTTTTCCTCCATCTTTATTTACGTTTATTATCTTTATTTATGTTTATTATCTTTAATTACATTTATTATCTTTATTTATGTTGATGCCTCGGTGTTGGACTGTTGGACGCAGTGAGTTTCACATTTCAACGACGCGAGCAAACACTCCAGCCTGTAAGCGCTCACATCCATCACGGTGAATACGTGAACGTTGGTTTGGACCGAGGATGTGGTTGGTTTGCTCGTACCTTTCTTAGCGGCTGATCAGGACAAACAGCACTCGCACAGAAAAACGAGCTTTTCCAAAAACCTCCGCTCTGAATTCTGGATTCAAAAATCTTTGGTTCTGCAGAAAACAGCAGCTGTTGTTGCTCACACGAACAGCCGAAAACTAGCAGACATGCTAGTTTTAATCAAAACCTGCGTCGTGTAAACAAGGCCTGAAACTGAAAGCGCTGCAGGTTAGACGATACTTGTTCCTAACACAGGACCAAAGGATCAAAGGATCTGAACTATAGCTCTTTAATTTATGTTTTTGTCACATTAATGGCATTAATGTTCTTTATCGTCTGTTTGGAAGATAAATTATTCCAGTCCAGGACTTGTTTCATCAGAGACCTTTGACATTTTCGAGGGTCTCGTTTCCATTCTCACAGAAGAAAAGACGTCCAGGAGCTCCCAGAGGAGCTGCCGCGCCCGCAGGAGCTCTTTGTTGCAAAAGAAAAGACGTCGGCCTGAATGTGAGCGTCGGAGACGGGCTCTTTGTCATTGGGGCGCTCAGACGGAGAACAAGGTGACGGTGTCGTGTTGAATGTGGGGTACCTGCAGGGTCCGGGGTCCTGGTTCTGTTGAGGCTCGGAGATAAGATCGCTGCGGACAACAAGGAGTTTTAGGCGCTAAAACTGAAGACCTCACTAAAGTGTAAAAACCAAAACATTTAAAAATCACCTTTAAACTTTCTGATCATCAAACTGTGAGATCTGCAAGTTTTTATTATTTTTATTATTATAAGTTTATTCATTTCATGAAAGAAAAACAATTCAATATACAATAAAAGTTTTATCTAAGAAAACTTAATTAAAGGCAGAATGACCGTTGATTCATTTCAATTAACCCAAATCTAAAACAGGTGTGTTAAAGGGATAGTTACAATCATTAAGGCGATGTTCTGTTGAACGTTTGTAAAAATAATTCACAAGTTTTATTTTGTCAGACCACTTCCTGTTAGCTTGTCATTTGAATATCCAACAAACTAAATAATAATATTAAAAAAATCTGAGCATCAAACTGAATCTCTGGCATCCTTCTTAAC